ACAGTTAATTGACAGCCTTTTTTATAAATAGAACAGTTGCACATCGTACAACTGTTAGGACCTAAGTTTGTATTTGGTCGTCAGTATTTATTGTACAAAAAGAATCTGTGACAATTGTATTACTCAAGTGTGCAGAAAGCAAACTTTTTAATAGTATTATTCTACACATTTTAAATTGCAGCAATTTTTTTATACAAAACAAGAAAAATAATTTTGCTAATATGTATTACATGTATTAACTGTAGTCTACATTAATTAGTGTTTATTTAAATGACAACAAATCGACATACATACCATCCATTGGTTCTTCTTTGATGTTACAAAAAGAAACTGTGTGATCTATTGTGAAAAAATGTTTTGTGGTATATATTATGATTTTAATAGTTATTATTGTTTTGAAATAGTAATAATGATTAGCTTATCAATCAGACAATATTTTTTTTCATGTGTAACTGCTGTAGTGTCTAAAAAAAATGATAAGATAATTAGTTTAGCGTCTGTAAAGCCCTGTGCAAACGGACGCAACATCGTTGGCTAACAACTCCCAGCTTTGTTGGATGTTACATGTTGCGTCCATTTGTAAACCCTGTTGCATGTTGTTGGATGTTGTTGCGTGTTGTTGCGCAAAGTTTGAAACAGCTATACTAACTTACCATATTTTGTTTTTAAAATGCCGAAAATATTTGTTTCCTTCCAATCTATTAAGAAAGATAATTTTCTTTTTACATGTAATTACATCAAATGTTACATTAATATGTTATAGAATTGATTTGAAATGTTATAATTTTTCTGAAGAGTTTTGTGATAAAAATAAATATAACTAGGTACAGATTGTAGCAAAATGTACTGTTGTTATCTATGACCACTTGACAGGTTAATCGCAGACAGAGATGGAAGTATGGTGGGTCAAATTTTCTTGCTTTTTTCGCTCAAGGAAAGATTTAGAAAATTTGCAATAATGACTGAATTGTCATCATTATTTATTTTTTAAAAGAAATATTAAATTTCAACTACAGTTGTGTACTGTTGAAGAAAAGCTTCAACAATCAATATGATTTTATTGTAAATATTATTCACCACAACGGTTTTAAACACGAATTGGTATATGTAATTGATAAGAAGAGGGAGACTTTTGACAAAAGTCACATTGAACTCTTGAAGAAAAGTCATTTGCACAGGATTGCTATATAAAACGTGTTTTTCATAGGTGACCTACTCTCTATATTGGAATTCGTTGAAATTTCCGTTTGAGAGGAGAAAATCCAAGAATAAACAAAAAAATTTGCAATACTTTCTAAATTGCTGTCATTATTTTTTTAATTTAAGAAATACTAGATCTCAAGTATACGGGTGATCGCAATAGCGGACTGTCGAAGAAAATCTTCAACAATGAATATGACTTTGTGGTAAATATTATTCATTATAGTTGTTTTAAACAGGAATTGTAATTAATCTCTTGAAGGAAAATGATTTGCACAGGATTGTTATATGAAACCTGTTTTTCATAGGCGATCAATACTGTATATTGTAGTTTGTTGAAATTTAAATTTAAGGAAGAAAGTCAGATAAGAAATGATATGTTGTAAATTTTATTTTTTAATACCAATTTCAATAAACTTCCACATATATTTTTCATCGTTTGTATTTTTTCAAAATAAGACCTCCTTAAATATTTTTGTGTATTGAAAGCCAATTTTTGAGTTATTGACTTTGAGTTATATTTCTGAGAATAACTACCTTTATTTAGTAGCAATTATATTATATTAAAACGATAAAGGCTGTAATAATTTTTATGTTGAAAAAATTAATAACACCATAACTTACTTCCATCATCGGCTTCTCCAGATTGTTCTACAAGAAATAGGTATTGTTGAACTACTTTAAAGTTAGCTATTGTTTAGACGCAGGACTTTTCATTTACCGAACATAACTGAATAAGTTCAGGTTTGTCGCGACACTGACGTGAAATCTGATTTAAATGGTATGAACTTCTATCAAGTGTAAGTTATAACGTTCGACAGAAGTTCGACAGAGTTTGTCAAACTTAACGCTTTTTCTGGAGAAAGTAAAACTGTCGTACCAAATTTATTTATACAGGGCTTTTTGTCATACTTAATTCGTCAGTTAGATTCGGTATATGAGTAAGGTGGCGTTTGAACAGGATCTTAATGGTATAAAATTAATCCTGGTAAAAATGAACAATTGCTTTCACAAAAATCTATCGGCCATCTGTCAGCAAATTGTCCGCAGACAAACAACAAACAGTCAACTAAAGGTACAAAAAAACGAGCTACAAAAAACGGAGAACTTGAAAGAATGAAAGGTGAGTCCTCAACAGGATTTGAACCCATGACTTGCCAATTACCAGGCGGGCGCTCTATTCAGTGAGCTACGAAGAACTTATGCAGGGCGAGGCCATGTACTAGGTTCATATTAACACACTTGCTGTATACTGTAAGGATCAGCGATATCGATGTCATACTGTGTGGTGAAAGAATGAAAGATGGTAAATTTTAAGCTTAGTAAAACAAATGTGGAAATGAATTAATCAGCATGTCAGGAGTGTGGAATAAAGAAAAAATCTGAGTCCCCGAACAGAATTTGAACCTATAATCTCCCAAATACCGCTGATTACATGCTGATTAATTCATTTTCACATCAATGTACAACTTGTTTTGCAATTTTGCTTCAAAAGGACTTGAATAGCGATGTTGCGCATTTTAATTTTCACTCATCTGTTCCAAGACAGGTTTGATTTGGGTGGTAAAATGTGTAACAATGCTATTCAACTTGTTTTGCAGTAATGTTGTAAAACAAGTTGCACGTTTTTTGTTGCCCCCTTTTCCGTACCTTAAGATACAACCAAGAGTCAGTGAGTCATGTGATACTTTCAGAGACGGAAAAACGTCTAGGTTACATTGGGAAATGTAGAACAATTATTTGTGACAATTACTGCAATTAAATTTTTCAGCTAATAACGTTAAATGTGTCAAATATTATCCAAAAGTTGGTGGGAATGAACGTCAAGAGTGAAGTATTCGAAAAGCGAAGCTTTTTAAATGATGCACGAATCCTATCTTACCGTTTTCATTTTTGCTTACCAAATACCAGTTTTTATGTGTTTATATGCTCAAGCTCTTTCTTTTTTTACATGGAATCCTCAGATCAGTTTCTTTGTAAAGGTCGGAAGATTACGGAGTGTTAAAAACTCTTTCATTGAAGATCCTTTTTGGGTTTGTTTTTGCAGTTGTTACTAGTTCCATTATTTTCTATTAATTTAAAATAGAAGTTTATTAACGGAAGCGTCGTTTTTAATTTTTGTTAAATCTATATATTAAATAATCACCTTCGCTTTGACTGAGCGAAAATACTGCCGTGATACGTGGAAAATCTACATAACAATAAAAGAGAAAAAATGTCAGCAAATTGAAAATTCTTTGAAATAACTTTAGTTTTAACCCTCATAATTATCGTACTGAGTTTTACGAATCGTCTTTCACGCACTAGCCTTTACCTTAGCCTTAAGACAAGTTTCGTTTATTCAAACCTCTTCAGTTTGGCTAAAACTGTTACAATACGTTATTACATTCAAACAAGCAAACGCTTAGGCTCACCCTCAAGCGCGTGCAAGAAGGCGCGCACAACTGCTAAAAAATTACAATCCATCAATCATTTCACTATTGCCGCTTGCGGCAATGTTATAGAGTTCCATTGATGGATTCAGGATTGATGGATTTGCCTAAGCATAGCGTCACCGTGGTTAATAACTGAATCCATCAAAATCAGACGAGAAGGATCTATAAATAACAAGACGGAATGGAACTCTATAACATTGCCGCAAGCGGCAATAGTGAAATGATTGATGGATTGTAATTTTTTAGCAGTTGCGCGCACCTTCTTGCACGCGCTTGAGGGTGAGCGTACGCGTTTGCTTGTTGGAATGTAACAACGTATTGTAACAGTTTTAGCCAAACTGAAGAGGTTTGAATAAACGAAACTTGTCTTAAGGCTAAGGTAAAGGCTAGTGCGTGAAAGACGATTCGTAAAACTCAGTACGATAATTATGAGGATTATTTCCAAGTCTTTCGAGGTTTCAGCAAGAAAAGTTACCCAGAGAACTTTAGTTTTATGTATATAATTAAAGCTCTCTTTGTCACCACTCTTGCTAACGACCAGCTGTAGTCAGTTGGGCTACTGTTATGAAACGTTCTATGAATTAAGCGACAATTATCCTAAACAACCGCGACGATTCCTTGATTACCCAATTGGACTTTTTTTGTTGTACGTTTTCGTAAGCGGCAACTCAGAGACCATTTTCAGAGACATTAACCCCTGGAGATAATATATCTGGAGACTCTATCCTTTACACACTCCTAGTGGGATGTCAGCAAAGTCCCACTTCTACTCACCCCATTCCTTAAATCGAGCGACCTCTGAAATTATCACGGTGATGGGAATAAGCTAGGAATTTAAATGACCTTTACATGAAGTACACACCGTCAAAACAAAGTAGCTGGTGTACAGACGTGTCGCATCCCTCAGGAAAAATCGGGAGAGGAGACGTCTGTGAATTGCCATCGTTATTTGGGTTCCGGTATACATTTGCATAAATTATTTTTTGTTTTTTCTCTGACAGTTAAAAAGGTGTTGACAGAGCAACACGACTCTGACTCTTTTAGAGCACGTATATATGTATGCAAATATTCTAACTAGAATATCTAACTAAAATCACTATAAAATGTCATTCAAAACGAGTATTTTATGCTTTGGAAGATTTTAATATATTCTTCGGTCTTTTTTAGCTGATAAAGTTGGTCTGTTATTGTTGTCTCAATATTGCATGGTTGCTTAGTAACGCTAGCGACATGTGCATTAGGACTTGTAGGCTCTTACCATGTGCTCTTGCCAAATGGCGGACTATGTACATCACGTTTGTTTGTCATAAATGATTAAATCCTGTTGAGATTTCAAGACACGGTGGTAGCGGTTAAACAAGTAAAATGCTGAAGTTAAGCCCTCCAGAGAAATTTGATTTTTCCAAACTGCTCGACTGGCCAGATTGGAAGCAGAATTTCCTGCGATTTCGACTCGCGACGAAACTTCACAAAGAGGAAGGCACTGTGCAAGTCAGTGCTCTCATTTACACAATGGGAAGAGAAGCAGAACATGTGTATAAGTCTTGTACCTTGGCTGATGGAGATGATGCAAAAATTGACATGATTTTGCCGAAGTTTGATGAACATTTCGTGCCAAAATGGAACATAATTCATGAGCGGGCACGTTTTCACCAAAGGATCCAAAAGCAAAGAGAGACAGTAGAATTGTTCGTACGAAGTCTTTATGAATTAGCCGAACACTGTGATTTTGGGGACAGCCGTGATCAGCAAATACGGGACAGAATTGTCTTTGGAATTCTTGATAAAGGTGTGCCGCAGAAATTACAGTTAAAGTCGGATTTAACGCTGGAAGTCGCGATTCAAGTAGCTCGCCAGTCAGAAATGGTCAAGTCTCAGGTTACTGATCAGAATTCCCTTGCATCGAAGGATGTTGAAGAGGTGCACAGTAAGAAGAAACCGGCTAATCCGCGTTGGCAAGAGGGAAAAGGAAAGAAAGAGGATCCATCTCAAAAGCAAGGTCAGAAGAAGTGTGGCAGATGCGGTCTCCATCACTCAAAGCCTGAACACTGTTTAGCAAAAGATAAACGATGTTTGAAATGTCAAAAAGTGGGTCACTTTGCAGCTGTTTGTTGGTCCAAGTCGGTGAGTGAGGTGAATAGTAGTGGTGGTAGTAGTGCTTCAAATGATAGCAGTGCTGGTCGTTGGTTCTTAGGTGCGTTGTCAAGTGATTTAGATCAGGATGACAAATGGAAGGTCCAGCTTAAGGTCAGTGGTAAACCTCTGGTGTTCGAAATTGATACCGGTGCTGATATTACTGCCATTTCAAAGTCTACTTTTGATAGTTTGCCAAATCAGCCCAAGTTACTTCCAGCGAAGATAGCTCTTTTCAGTCCAGGAGGCAAGTTGCAGTGCACTGGGCAGTTTACAACAGCAGTGACATATTGCAACAAGAAGTACCAACTCAATGTTTTTGTAATCAGTGGAGAACATGCTAGCAACTTGCCGGGTTGAGAAGCAGCTCGTGAAATGGGTTTAGTTGCGAGATTAGAAGAGGTGGATGCTGAGTTGTTTGGAGATATAGGCTTGTTCAAGTGTGAACCAGTTAGGATCCAACTGGATGAGAATTCCCAACCCTATTGCTTTTCCTTTAATGCCAAAGGTAGAAGAGGAACTCAAGCGGATGGAAGAAGCTGGTATCATCGAAAGAGTAACAGAGCCGACAGAATGGTGTGCGCCCATGGTACCAGTACAGAAAAGTAATGGTAAGCTCAGGATCTGTGTTGATCTAAGAAGGCTGAATAGTGCAGTGAAGCGCTCCAGGTTTGTACTGCCTACCTTGGAAGATATCGCGCCCAAACTTGCTGGTGCCCAGTACTTCTCCAAACTTGATGCGTCCAGTGGATTTTGGCAGATCCCCCTACATCCAGATAGTGCCAAGTTGACCACGTTTATGACTCCATTTGGTAGGTTCTGTTTTAAAAGACTACCATTCCAAATCACGTCTGCTCCAGAAAAATTTCCAGTCTCTAATGAGTAATCTTTTAAAGAACAGAGAAGGTTGTGAAGCAATTATGGATGACATTATTGTGTACGGGAAGTCTCCAGAACAACATGATGAGAACTTACAGAACACGTTTGAAGTTATCAAGGAGTCAGGACTGAAACTGAACAAAGAGAAGTGTGAGATCAAGAAAAACAAGCTAACATACTTTGGACATGTTCTCAGTGCTGAGGGTGTAAGTCCAGACCGAGAGAAGGTGAAGGCAATAACAGACCTCGAAGCACCAACCAATGTGCCAGAACTACGCAGACTGATTGGCACGATTAACTACCTCGGGAGGTTTATTCCCAACCTTGCTTCAGTAATGCGTCCAATGAGCGACATAAAAAATTAAGATACAACTTGGACTTGAAGACCTCCCCAGCAAACTGCATTTACCAAGGTCAAATGAATGATTTCAAGTAATACAGTGTTAGCATTCTATGATCCTAAGTATGGTCGTCTGAACGTTTCAAAATTTGCTAAACTTAAAGTCGTTGTCGCTATCTTGAATTTGTTGTCGCTAAATTTTATTTTGTTGTCGCGAAATTTTATTTTGTTGTCGCTAACTTGACGTCGTTGTCGCTAAAATTAAACTCGTTCTCGCAACTTGAAGTTGTTGTCGCTAACATTAAATTTTTCGTTGTCGCTAACTATCAAGGCGTTTTTAAGCACCCTCGTTGATGATAAGAGGCCGTTGAATAATAGGTAATTGGGCAGGATAGTTCATCCATATGATGCATTTAGGCTTCCCTTCCTCTTCCCTTTCTTTTTCCTGTCAAAGTAACATTGCCAAGAACTTTTTATATATTAAGTCTATTCAAAATTAAATGTGTTCTGGGGAGATGAAATAGGCTATTTTTACAAGGCATTTTAAACATCTTTCAAACAAAGTCCATTTTTCTATATTTTTGAGAGAAATACTGATATTAATGATCTTTAAACATTTAATGCAGACATTCAAATTGTCAGTTTGACTTGAAAAGGAAAGATGCAATTTCAGACACTATTTTCATTTATAGATTTATAGGGATTTTACAGAATTTTAGCTTAATGCAATACTTGATATAGCTGTTATGTACATTTATTATATATATGGCCTAATTCAAGGCAAAAACATTGTTGGGTTACCGGTAGCTTATAGAAGCTAAGGCCTGGTTAACACTATGTCTAAGCATAATTGTGAGCGACATTATTTTGCAAATTCAATGTCACATTTATCACCATGGTGTTCCAAAAGACAAACACTGATAAGTGCATTACAGGGTCTCTGTTTGTTGCTTATAACTGTGATTATGGCACTGGTTTCCGGCTCTTTAAAGACCAAAGGTCTTCTGGGTAGTCAATATCCTATTTGGAGAATGTACAGAAGAGGAAATATATTCACTGTTTGTTAGCTTGAATATTCCTTCAAAGTCTGCAAACTTCAATGTGTAACAATATTAGCCTCATCTGTTTTCCCAGAAGAGCTTTTGGTCTTTCAACAAAATGATATTATTTTCAGTTAGGTGTTTGTACTTTTCTCTTGTTGTTCCAGTTCATTTTAAAGTGTTTGAATTTTTATTAGTTATTGGTAATGCAACACAGTTAACCCATGATGGTTGGTAGTGCAAGCAGAGAGTGGGAATTTGATAAAATCATTTTAAAATATTCGAAAAGCTCAGGGGCTGGAGAAGGTTTAAAGAAAAAAAATTGTCAACTAAATAGCAGGATTACTTATCTAATTCCCAACCCCAGGGTACATGTTTGCCATTGAATCCCCATATTTTGCATCCACTCCCCCTTTCCTCACACAGGGTTTTCTTTGATAGCAGTCCCACAAGTCATTCAATTAAAGTGCAAGAGCTAACCCATGTGTCTGCTGACGATTTCTGGGACTCTCTCATAGAATTCAATGTCATAGTTATTAGCTGGCTGAAGAGGATTGATCTGAGCTATTTGATCCAGTTGTTGCTGAGTCAAATCATCTAGTTCTGTAGGTGGGATTTCCACATCTAATAGGTCAAACTGATTTGATTCTGGGCCATTGGGGTCTATTCCAAAGAATTCTATATTGACATCTTGGTTGTCGCTGCTATAGAAATCTTGCACAGCTGTTTCTCTGGCATGTTCTGATGACAGGATACCATTGGTCCAGATCATTAATGGTGTCCAATGATGTTCTGTATGCAGGCTGTGGTTGTTGTAAGCATCTTGAAACTGTTTAAGAGCTCTGTTGATTAATGGTACAAAAACGAAGTGCAATGCATATAGGTCGGAATCTAGTTCACAATCCAGCAGTCCATTGTCTTCAAGAAAATAAAAGAGAGAATAGTATAGTTGTAACACATAAGAAAATACATCTCTCCACAGCCTCTCAATCCTTTGATTGTGTACACTCGTTCCTTCGATGTGACTTCCTCGATTAAGCCCCCGATTTTCAATCATGAATTTGGCCACATCAATGTTTTCTCCTCCACGGTCAGAGCGAACCCGTGATGGAACTCCATATTTGGCAATGGCTTCTTGAAATAAAGTGAAGACAGTATCTGCCTGGTTATTTGTACTATAATGGAGATAAGTAATGAGCCTTGAAAAGCCATCAATCCCACCATGTACTACAATCCTCCATCTGATTAGGCTGTGGTGGCCATCAATGTGCCACAAAGCATTTGGGCCAGGAATACTATATGAACACCGTTGTATAACCCTCATTCGCCTCATGCACACGTTAATAGGATCCACTCTAATCATGGATAATCGAGCCCTTTCCCGTTGGACAATGATTCCTAGTCTTTTGAGGTGACCCCTTAGTAAGGTCAAACCTGAGTTGGGTTACGTGGCAACAATATCACGCATGATTCCATCGAGCTCCTCATCACTTATTTCAGAATATCGTTGACTACAAGTAAGACCTAATTGATGACATCTGCTCCATAGCGTTGACCTTGAGATACACAGCATGACAGATGTTGCATCCCAAGTAAAGCCAATGTTGTGTAGGCATTCACTCTGTTCTCCACTCACATTCATCTGGGGCTGTCCTACCTTTCCTTGTGTTTCTTCCTCATGGGGGCAACACGATTATTAACAGTATGGGACACAGAACAACAGTAATTTGTTCTCCAAGCACGATTCTGCCAACTTTCGAGGAAAACTAACAAGTGCTGGTATAAAGACAAGAAAGCTGTATAGTTACTTGTTGATCAGTGCATCAGTTGATTCGTGGTATCACTTGCACACTGGAGGCGACTTATCATGCTGTCAATGACATCAGGATTTTGGGTTTCACTGAGTCTTTCCAGATCATTTAGTAATGATTCGATCGAACCGATAAATTCGTTTGTGGCCGTCATGTTTGCTCCCAGACATAGGAAGCCCAAAAACGAAAAATGGGCTTGTTCCTAGGCCTCCTTGGTTTCATACGGGAACCTTCAAATCCCTTCTCTCCACTCCCTTAATAAATTTTAGCGCCTTGGTATAGTTAGCAATACCGAGTTCACTTAATTTTAGCGACAACGAATTAAGTTTAGCGCCTTGATAGTTAGCAACAACGACTGCATGTTAGCGACAATGAAAAATTTAATGTTAGTGACAACTTCAATTTGGCGAGAACGCCTTTAATTTTAGCGACAACGACTTCAAGTTAGCGACAACGAATTTGAATTTAGCGACAACGAATTCAAGATAGCGACAACGACTTTAAGTTTAGCGACAACGAATTTAAATTTAGCGACAACGAATTCAAGATAGCGACAACGAATTTAAGTTTAGCGAATTTTGAAACGTTCGGACGACCATACCTAAGAAGCCCATTGTTGTTTGTGCAGATGCTAGTAGCTATAGAATTGGTGGGGTTCTGATGCAAGGTCCCAGTGATCAGCTCCGCCCAGTCAGTTTTTGCAATAGAACACTGACAGACTGAAGTCAGATATGCTCAAATTGAGAAAGAGTGCCTGGAAGCAGTGTGGACATGCGAGAGACTCTCACGTTATCTAGTAGGGTTTCCAAGTTTCCAGCTTTTGACAGATCACAAACCTCTGGTACCACTGATCAACCAGAGAGATCTTGATAAAACACCACTAAGATGCCAAAGGCTTCTAATGCGCCTTATGCGGTTCAATCCTCAAGCAGAACATGTACCTGGCAAGCAGATGGTGGTGGCAGATACTCTGTCTAGAAGCCCTTGTAAGTTAGAACAGGAACCCGACACAGTAGAAGACGTGCAGGCATTTGTAGACTTGGTTGAATCTATAAGGCCAGCCACAAGTGATCAGCTTAAGAGAATCAGAGAAGCAAGTGCAAAGGATGTCCAGCTCCTGAAAGTGATGGAATTCACAATGGTAGGGTGGCCAGCCCATGTGGAAAAAGTCCAGATACGAGAGTTCTTTGATTCTCGTGGACACTTGTCAATGAGCAACGGTTTATTAACATATGATGATCGCATAGTGATCCCTGCAGACATGAGAGAGGAGATACTGGAGCGCATTCA